TCACAACACAAACAACAACAAGATTTTAAGTTAGAAAAAATAAAAGAAGCCTCGTTTTATAGTTAGATTCTCTTCATCATACATTGATACCTACTTAGAGAAAGGATTATAAAAACTGAATAGCATTCCAAATATATAAAATCACAACAAAAGAATATATATATATGTATATATATATATATATATTAAATCTTAATTAACTTTGAAAACATATAGAAGATTAGAAATGTTCAATCTACTTTTTGTCAATATTTAACATTATAATGTATAACAATATGTTCAGATTTGAATTCTAATAATCAGTATTGTACTAAGGATCCATGCCTTTTTGAAAGAAAAAAAATCAAAATAAATAAAAACATAATTAAAAATAACGCTCCAAAAACAAAGATAAACTTTTAATCAAAGATTATTGGATCAAACTTTTCAAAGAAAAATAAAACTAATAAAACAGATCTGAAAACATATTATTCAATCATACTTTTAAAATTCAGATAAATAAAATTTAATCTCAATTCTAACAATAAAAGCACATGCATGAGACAATTATAAACAAAAAAAAAACAAGAATGAAAGAAAGCATACTTATTGGCAACACAGATTCATGGAATATATATATTATAAAGAAGCAACAGAAAATTGAGAATACCTTAAGAACGAGAAATGAAAATACGAATAGGAAGTGATTGGAGTAATAATATAGAACGATCTTTTAGTATTTGGTAGTGAGTTAAAAAAAAAAGACAAAGAGAAGAATTCTATTTAAAATGTATTTTATAAGCATCATGTGTTGTTCTTTACATAAAAAAATAGGCTGTTAGATCAAGTGAAACTAATTTTTACCGTCCAAATTTTAATAATAAAAAACTCTAGATTTTTTTTTATCTATTCAATGTATCTAGATAAGACAGTGATACTATCCTTTAATATTTTACCAATTTTGTATAAAATATTAATAAACAGAAATAGAAAAAAATCTTTGTCTTCCAAATCTAGATTATATTTTCTGCATATCTATAATTAATTCAACTTTTCTGAAAATTTGAATGTGTTGAAATTAAAATTTACCAAAAATATCAAATAATATGAGTTGTATATTTGTACGTATATTCTTATCTTCCAGATATTTTCTTTATAAAGATTATATAAACAATCTTTTCTATTTTTTTTTAATATGAGTTGAAAAGCATTCCTTATATGGTTGTCTCATAGTTATACCAGAATTACAATAGATTGTATTTTCATTAAAATTTAGATACAACTAAAACGAGAATGAAGCACAAAAAAAAAGGAAGTCGATAGAACAAATTACGGTTGAGTAGAGATTATCTTCTATTGAAAATTCTTCCTTTACAAGCTCACAAAGCCACTCATTTTTTTGCGTTTGTGTCACACCATTACGATTTGTGATTGTAAATGATCTTTGAGTATAAAAGAGTACTCGTTGCAGCTCTTTCTCATAGTCATGGGTTTGTTCTTAAGCATACATTCCAGTCTAATATACTATAGTCCATATAATTTTGATTCACCAAAATATTTTCATGATCTTCTTTCCTTGAGCATTTTTTACTTTAGGAAACATAATAGACAAACCCTATACATTTTTCCACCTACATGTCAGTGTCTTGGTTTTAGTGAATAGGTATTTGTTTTTTAAATCTCAGAATACAACTATATACATTGAAATCTAACAAAATAGATATAGCATAAAACGTATTATCCAACTTGTACAGCAGTTATAAGTGAAAGTTCTTCATCTGCTTTTTAGCAGACTTTGGATCTGCATATATGTAACACATAATATGAATTCTGACCCTCAGTAACAAAGTATCATTGTATTATAAATACTTAAGTCAACTAAATTAATTGATTTGATCATCTTAAATTTCAATGAAGTAAAGTAAAATGAGCAGAGATATCTACAAAGCATCAATGTATAATAAATACTTATCATATGCGAGCTAACTACATAAATTGATTTGACCATCTTGAAAATCAATGAACTAAAGCAGAATGAGCCGGGACTAAACATATTAACAAATATGTTATATGAATTAAGAAAATATCAAACAGAATTAACTCCTTTGGGTTTAGTGCCTACACTATTGTTACAAAACAAAAAAAAAAGAATCAGTGCCTATACTTGTTTTTAAGCAAAAATTATTAAATCAAATAATAAGCCCTTCTGTTTGATGAATAATTTTTGCTTCGAAGCTACTGTATAGGAGCCCGCTGATTCAATCAAATAATAAACCCTAAAAAAAATTAAAAAAAAATATGATAAAAGAAAAAATACTATGAATCTCACCATCATTTTCAACATTTGAAATTGCAGTTACAGTTACATTTCTACTAACGGGAATCAATCAACGTTTCCCCCCAACCCTATTTTATACCTACCATCTTCTCTTATGGAGAAGCTCTCTAATCACCAACGTAAACAGTCTAATTTTGCTAAAAAGTTTTCTGTTTTATTAAGTTTACTTAATTGTTAGCTCCTGTATTGGCGAGATATTGGAAGCAATATGTGGAGGCACAGATGGCTGTAAACAATGATAATGCTACAAAACAGATATTTAGCTGTTGTTTGTCGACCTGCCTTCAAGTTTCCTCTTTGGCATGAGATGCTTTCCTTTTTTCATTCGTTGATAAGAGTTAATACATGATCTTTCCATATCACTGTTTCATATGCTTAGTTACAACTGCAAGTCTTTCCATCTCCTTGAATATAATTCAAACATCCTATTCTCGTAGGCAATGTTACATTCGGTTCATCAGAAAGGTCTACCACAAAAAAGGAGCAGAGGGTCAAGAGGAGACCACAAAGGCTTTTGAGTTTATGCTTAATTATATTGATATCGCTTCTCTTCAGAAGTTTTGGCTCTATTGTGTTCTTTTTTTCCCTTTTTTTCTTTTCATTTTAGTCTTGTGTACATGTCCCATAAATAGATGGAAATATTTCGCTAATAGTTATGTGTAGTAAAAGATATGAGTTGTTCGATTTAATTCGAAATATAGTTGCTAACAATAAAAAAAAATTGCAAATTACTAGAGCTTGTCTGCGTTCTAACTTTAGTCACGTCTGTCTCTGGTAGTTCTTCGTCTTGACAGATTGTATTTGTAATACTGTTGTAATCTAGTTTATATTATCCATCTCATGATCTTCACGTTAAACAGGTATAACGGATATGCGTGTGTACTTCGACTATTTAGATGGAAGCACTTCGTGTTTCAAACTGTGGTTTTCACATGGCTTGAAAATAATGGAAAACTCTATCCAATCCTCTAGCTCTATTCAAACTTCTTGTAGTTTCTTATAACTGGCGTTGAAATGAAAATGGTGTTTCAAAAAAAAAAAAAACTGGCGTTGAAATGAGTAATGCGTTGTTGAATCATTGTTGAGTCAAACTGTCATTTTGTAGTTTCTTATACTGTTGATTCCCTTGTTCGTTTTCACATGTCATGACATTTCTTCATTGTGACAATGGAATGGTTTTTTATTTATCTCCCTATGCACAGTTATCACATATATTTATACTACAGTACAAGTCCATGATGGGATTCTCTTTGGCTGATAGTGTGTCAGTCCTAGGAGAAATGTTAAAAAGGGTATTGTTATCCTCAGCAATAGCAAGCACCTTCTTATACTTTGCATCTATAACACATAAGATAACCAGGGGTAAACTTTTGTTTTACAAATTCTGTATGGTTTCTTGAACTTCTTTCGCTATGTTTGGTTGGTGGATGATCTAATATATCCTGTGAACAGGCCAAAGGACTTGTAAATGAGTATCAACCAAAATTTAACAGTGCCAGAGCCATATATAGGGTGTGCAAGAAGTACACTGAAGACATTGATTGGAATATGCTTGCTATACCATTATGCTGAGTGGCACATAAAATCTGGTTCCATGGATGTTGCAATCAAAATATTTCAGCGAGGTCTTAAATTCGTTCCTGGTAAAAATCTAATATATCCTTTCTTTCATTATGTCTATGAATTAGTTGCTTTATATAGTGTTTCGAACCTTTTATATTTCTCTAAATGTCTACATTGTCCACTCTCTAATATCAGCTTCGGAAATGTTTAAATATGCGTATGCTGAGTTGGAGGAATCTCGTGGAGCAATTCAGGTTTTTATTCTTGCTGCTTGCTTCTCCTTATTGAGCTGTTTCTTTTGTTCCCATTCTCGTTATTATTTGTATGCTTTTGCAGTCAGCAAAGAAATTATATGAAAGTGTTTTGGGGGTTAGCACAAACTCTTGGGCACATATTCAAGCAAGAACAAGCAAAGTTCAGAACTTAGGACTGCTAAGATTGGCATAAAAAGCACATCTCCTCTTCTTTTCATAGTCACATGCTTCTCAACTGATATTTGTTTCTTGTCTCCATTTGTTTCCTACCAATAATTTTTTTCACTTCTGGATTGTTTTCTTTTTTTCACTGGAAACACTCATATGTATTTTTATATGCTTTCGCACTTCCTTCGTTTTCTCCGGAGGTACAATACTTTTTATTGATTCTCATAAGGGTGGTACCCGAATAAGAAGGCAACACATCTTTTACGTTGCCTATAGGGTAAGAAAACAAATGATCTCGTGGTAGGGTTGTGTATTATGAACTGATGTAAAGTCTCTTCAGTATCTTCATCCATAGGGTCACTGATATCACCGGTCCTAATTTCTCCGGCCATGATTTCACGGAGATGAATTTGCAGTCGTTGCTTGCTGTTTGCGGCTTTCTCTCCTCTATTTTGTTCTTTTTCTTTGTAAATCCTAGATAATAATAACATATACGGCTTCCATTTTTCATATTACCTTATATCGTAATGGTTTGTTTGTTTTTTTTTTTTTTAATAAGCATTTGAATTTCATTATAAAAATACGAATGGTTTGTAAATATTACAAAAGGGTTAGAACGAATAGGAAAATCCTTGCCAAAAAATAATAAAAAACAAGGAGAATCCTAAGAAAGAACTACGAACGAAGTTGAGGCAAAATTAAGAGAAGGTGAGCCATATTTGCATAAGGTCACCAAACGCTTTCCTTTTCCTTTTGGCTAGAATCGCGTCACGGATAAGTCTGTCAATGAACTTGAAAATTGCTTGTAGTGTGGAGGAGATGTTGTCGTTGATTCTCTTGTTGCGTTCTCTCCAGATGCCATAAATGGTAGCATGAGCCACAAGACGCTGCAAGGTCCGGGGAGCAGTGTTATCTTTTAATCCAAGCCAACAAGAGAAGGCAGTCCATGTATGAAAAGCAAAGGGTCAATAGCCTAACCTTTTGATGACAAGATCCCAAATCAGTTCGCTAACTTCACACCTAAGGAATAAATGATCTCAGTTCTCTTCAAATAAATGGCAAAGGCAACAGACTGGATTTATTTGCATTCCTCAGCTTGCTAAGCGAGCTCTTGTTGGAAGACAGTCCTGGTGAGTTACCCACATATGAAAAGCATGTCTTGAAATTGCTCCCTTGAACCACACATTTGAAGTCCATGACTAAGGAGGTGCTCAAGGTCGTAGGACTTCCCATGTGTGTTTGGCGGAGAAATATTGCAGGTCCAACCCGTTAGCATGCCAAACGTAAGAGTCAGCCGTGGTATATATAGATGGGATAGGCAATGTGGTCAGGTGGATTTGAAGCGATTGTGCAGTGGCTGATCTGGCTCCACGAACAAGCCAGCCAGACGAGTTGCAGGCTTGAGATACGGAGGCCTGAAGAGGAATAACAAGTTCTCTAGGACCTCCTGTCCCAAATAGATCAATGAGAGGACCAAGAGGGGTCCAATGGTCCCACCAGAAGCTTACAAGCTGCCAATGGCCAAAGACCCAACAATGATTTCCAGGTCCAAGAAGAATGCTTATTCTCATCTAAGCTCCAAAAAATTTTGCCTTTGATTCTGTAAGACTTGATCCATTTAACCCAAAGAGAAGAGCTATTAGAAAATAGAAACCAGATGAGTCTAAGGCATAATGTTTTGTTCCAAATCTGAAAGTTCCTCAAACCCAATCCACCTTCCTCCTTAGGCAGACACACATTGTACCAAGAGACTTTAGCAACAGATTTCTTAGATATATCGCCACTCCATAGAAACCTAGAGCACATACTTTCAATCTTCTTGAGGCACCCTTTTGGTAGAATGAAAGCAGATATCCAAAAGTTAACAGTACCATAAATGACAGAGGCTATAAGTTGTTTCCTGCCAGAAAAAGAGAGAGCCCGGGAGCTCCAAGAGACAAATCTGTTGGAAATCTTTTCGAGAAGGGGTCTATAGTCGGACAGTCTTAGCTTCCGGTGCATCAGTGGAAGACCCAAGTAGCGAATAGGCATCTAACCATAGCTAAAACCCAGACTGGAGAGTTCAGCGGTTTCGATCTGATTCATACCCCCTTTGAAGAGCTCAGTTTTGCTGTGGTTCATGGAGAGACCAGACCATTGCGAGAATGACTCCAAAGTTGCAGCAATGCTTTCTAAAGAATGTTTTCCTCCATCAAAGAACACCATGATATCATCAGCGAAAGCTAGATGAGTGACATTGGAATTGGTAGTGTTCGGGTGGAAGCCAATATCTCTAGACATGTATTTTTTGTTTAGCATCTGCGAGAAGACCTCCATAGCAAGCACAAAGAGGTTTGTTTTTTTGTCTCCAATGCATTATAATTCCTCTTTTTTTTTCTTGCGTAGGTTTGATAATTTTCCTTTTACTATTTACACCCTAAAATTTTAATTATTTCAAAGTAAAGTAGAAACCCTAGCCACCATAGAAATCAAACGAGCAATGGGTTGTTCTTCAATGGATTTCATCAAATATATGCCAGATGAGATCCTCCACAATATCCTCTCCTTTCTTCCCATCGATCTCGCCATCAGAACTTCTGTCTTGTCCAGAAGATAGAGGCATGTATGGTGCAAGACACCTTGTATAGACTTTATTAAGGCAAAGACTCTGGAGCAACTGATGGGCTTGCGGGCCTAGGATTGTTTTTAACAAGCCCGTTGGTCCTCCAATAGTTTTAAATTTATAAAACCCTAGTGTCTGCAAGTGCACAGATGTACGTTGTAGGAGTTAGGGTGTCGATCCACAGGGAGGATGTCTAATCTTCGAGAAACATCAAACTGGGAAGTAAGCAAAGTCATAAACCAATAAAAGTTTTGGGGTTTTTGGTTAAGATCATAAACTAAACCTAATCTAATATTCACAAGAAATAAAATGCAATGCAGGATGAATTGTTAAAAGAACATCTAAAGCATATCGACCCAAACTAAAGACTCTTAAACTCATAGGTGGCCATTTAGACTTCTCCGGTTTACTCTAATCGATGTATGATGACATTTCCAATCAGCTTCCAGGCGAGTTATCTTCATCTGTTTCTGTGAATCTGCATAGAACTAGAATAGACATATGTATGATAAACCAACTCTCGTCACTTAATCAACTAATCACTTAGATCGAGCAATTAACTCTCGCTCTCATGTTAAACTTAAAATCATGCATTAGACATTGAATTCGTCTGCTCACATCTTCTCTATAGGTAGCTTTCGACTCCTATAGCGACTATGTTCTTCTGAAGCTAGGTACGAATGATCTGATACAGCACTCTCGTGGCTCTGATCGATCCTAGACTCAGAGAATAGGTCATGAATCTACTCTCATGCTTACGAACAACTTAGAAGAGATGAGATCCAGAATATGGTCTATAACAATAAAAATCCTAATCGATATATGTGCTTGTCGATATCTTCAAAAAACTTGACTCTCTGGGACTAATCCACATGATGCAATGAATGATAAAAGACATAGAAGATGCAAAAGAATGAAACTGAAAAGCTAATAACATAAAAAAAAAAGGAGAAAGAACAATGGATCTGGGGAAGAATCCCCATCTCCATCGCCTAACCCTAGAAAAACAGAGTTCGGTGGCTTAAAATCTTATTACATGAGCACACACCCGTTTAGGGCTGCTAAACAATGTATTTGTAGGTCCTAAGGTCTTCCAGGTCTCATTTAGGACTTCTCTAAAGAGGAATGGCGAAGTGGGCTTTGATGTTGGGTCTTGTGGCTCTTCCTAAGATCCACTGGAGGTGAGAGTCTTCCAGGGCAGGTAAAACATGTGTTTACCGCGAGTGAGAGTCTTCTGGGACTGGTGAACTGGGTCAACTTGTTTTCCATGTATCTTTTGATTGCACCATTGGATCTTTGTGATGTAAAGTGCTATGGAAAGCTGGTTATCTCCTCTTATCTTTTTCCCAATTTGAGTTGGATCAGACGGTGGGAAGGCCTCTATTTGTTACCAAACTTCTGACGGTCTGACTCTGAGCTGAAAAAGTGGATTTCTTCCATTTTGCCATCATTTTCCTTAAGTTTCCTGAAAAGAGCCTTGAAACTACAAATACATGGAAATCAGTTCCTAAAACTAAGTAAAACCTTTGGAAAAGCATTTGAAATCAATGGTGAAAATAGGTCAAAGTCGGGTGTTATCAGCAACAAGAAGGTTTACAAAACGACATCACAGCAGCTAAACTCAGCAAAGCAGACGTGAGCTTGTGTGATCCGATGAAGCCCATAGATAAATCGACGAAGCCCACAAAAAAATTCATAATCAACCAACAACGGTCATCTTCACTCTGCGAGAAAAACAGAGGATTTGCAGAGAAAATAACGACGAGCTGCGTATCACACCAGGACGAAATAGCAATCCATAAAAGATTTGATTCCCTTGAAAATGTTGACTGATCCTAGGACTGATGTGTGTCAACTAGAAAGATCTAGATGGAGCCTAGGGTTTAGGATTGATTTGTTATAAATGTAGCTCGATGAGCAGCGTTGTAACTTAAGATTTTCAAAATCAATAAGAAAACTTCATTGTTTACAAAGGTCTTTCCTTTCTTTCATGGTATCAGAAGCCATTGCGATTCATGGAACCATGGCACATACAGTTTCACGCTCGGCGACTCTATCAGTCTCAGAACCTCCACCAGTTCCCAGAGCCACTCTCCCGACGAGTTCCACCGCCTCACTCTCAACGATTCATGGAGTCATGTCCTGTTCCACCGCGCCGTCCGCAGTTTCAACACCGTTCTCCATACCAAACTCGGCCCCAGCTCCAGTGGCGCCTTCGGACTTTTCTCCTCGAGCTTCATCGAGCTCGTTTCGAGCTCCGCCGGATGGAGAACGCGTTCAGACACAACCGAATGTTTCGTCTCCGGCACCTTCACGAAATCGACAGTTCCATCAATCGGTGACGTCACCGTCTCTGATGTTGGTCTCGTCACCACTAAATCGATCGCATTGTGTCACTCTTCGCTTGACAGCCTCTAACTACTTGCTCTGGAAGACTCAGTTCGAGCATTGGCTGTCAAGTCAGAAGCTGGTGAGCCACGTCACAGGTAGCACACCTCGTCCACATGCGTCCCTGGTGTTCCGCGTTGGTGATACGTTTACGGAGGTTCCAAATCCAGATCTGTTCACATGGCTGCAAAACGATCAACACGTCCTTGCCTGGTTGTTTGGGTTCATGTCCGAGGATGCTCTTCGTTCTGTCTATGGAATTCAAACTGCGCAGGAGTTTTGGATGGCCCTCGCCAAGAAGTACAACTGTGTCTCACCCTCTCGCCGGTTTAACCTGCAACGCCAGCTTCAAACGGTTTCAAAGCAAGGCAAATCTATGGGAGATTACCTGAATGAGATTAAAACCATTTGTTACCGGTGAAGCCTCTCGAATGGTCTGTCAAATCTGTGGAAAACAAGGTCATCTTGCAATCAAGTGCTGACATCGTTTCAACAACGCTTATCAGTCAGATGATGCTCACACTGCTTTGGCTGCAATGCGAATCACTGATGTCACTGAGATTTCAGGGCTTGAATGGTATCCAGATACAGGCGCATCAGCTCATGTCACCAGCTCCCCTCACAACCTGCAGTCTTCTCAGCCGTATCATGGCATTGATACTGTAATGATTGGCAGTGGCGAGTTCTTACCCATCACACACACTGGATCGTCTTCTCTGCCTTCAACCTCAGGTAAGATTCCTCTCAAAGATGTGCTTGTTTGTCCTTCCATCACTAAGTCTCTCTTATTTGTATCTAAAATCACAAAAGATTACCCGTGTTCTTTTGAGTTTGACTGTAATGGGGTGCTTGTTAAGGACACGAGAACAAAGAAGCTTTTTACTCTGGGAAGCAACACTGAATGACTCTATCGGTTAAAAGATCCACCTGCTCAAGCTCTCTTCTCTTCTAGGCAGCATTCAGCACCGGAAGATGTTTGGAATCGAAGACTTGGGCATCCAAATAAGTAGATTCTGCATTTTCTATCTTCTAGTAAACTTATCTCCCTAAGCAAGAGTACCAACAAGACTTGTGAAGCTTGTAAACTTGGGAAAAGCAGTAGATTACCCTTTTTAGCTTCTTCTTTTTCTGCTTCAATGCCTCTTGAAAGAGTGCACTCTGATCTTTGGGGTCCTGCACCAATTGTTTCGAGTCAAGGCTTCAAATATTATGTAATATCTGTTGATCATTGGTCTCCCATCTGTTGGCTGTATCCTCTGAACAAATCTGATTTTTATCCCACATTCTGTGTCTTTCAAAAGTTAGTAGAGAACCAATTCAACTGCAAAATCGGTACATTTCAGTGTGATGGTGGTGGGGAATTTACAAGCACTAAGTTTCTCTCCCATTTAAAGCAATCCGGTATTAAACAACACATCTCTTGTCCTCATACACCGCAGCAGAACGGGCTGGCTGAACGAAAACACAGGCACATCACAGAGTTAGGTCTCTCAATGCTATTTGCAAGCAAAACACCTCTTTGATATTGGGTTGAGGCGTTTTTTACAGCAAGCTTCTTGAGCAACCTCCTACCTACTTCAACTTTGCCTTCCAACATCAGTCCGTTTGAGAAATTGTTGGTAAGAAACCAGAATATACTTCTCTACGTGTCTTTGGCTGCTCCTGCTATCTGATGTTGCGTGATTATGGTCATCACAAGTTTGATCCTAAAAGCCTGAAATGCGTATTCCTCGGCTATAATGAGAAGTAAAAGGGCTACAGGTGCCTCTTGCCTTCTACAGGACGTGTCTACATAAGCCGGCATGTTCTATTTGATGAACATGAGTATCCCTTTGAGTCAACTTATCACCATCTTCATCCGAAACCTGCAACTCCTCTACTTTCAGCTTGGCAACAAAGTTTTTGTTATTCAAAGCATGTTCCTTCCGGTTCTCCAACTCCTACGCCAGCTGAGTGTTCAGAGTTACCACCAGTATTTGCAGATGCAGACTTCCCTTCCCTCACAGCTATTACACAGTTCACACTATCCACCTCGTGTCAGGACAGACACTCCGGTTTCCTCTCCAAGTGAGCCTTCTGTTTCAACTCCAATCTCTTGTTCGTCTCCTGCAGTTAACTCTTCTGCTTCTCCTTCAACTATTTCTTCTCATGCCTCAACCATATCATTGCCGGGTCACAAGATCATCACAAGAGCAAAACGAGGTATCTTTAAACCAAATCCGAGATATGCTCTTCTCTCTCATAAGGTATCATATCCGGAGCCTAGGTCTGTAACCGAGGCCTTGAATCA